GGTTAATTACACGGCCACATGTTGGTGAAAACACGGCCGTGCTTTAGGGAGAACACGGCCGTGCTTTGGGAGAACACGCCCGTGCTTTGTCTCGGCCCTGCCCGTGTAATCAGCTCATGTCTGCCAAACTCGGATTTGCTCTCGGCAGTAAAAGCACGGTCACAGAACACGGTCGTGTTTTGAAGGCCTCATGCCCGTGTTTTTACTGCCGAACCTGTTCCCCTATATTCAATGCTTCGTTTCTCCCTCGTCCGGACTCCGAATCAGTCGCCGTTTGATCCCAGACGCTCGTAGTCTCGTCCTCTTTCTTTTCATGTCAAACTTGCACGATTCTTTGTCCATTAAGTGAGGTAGAAATCCATTCTTCTTCAGGTCATGCCAGAGTTTCTTCTCCCGAATCGCCAATTGATCTCTGATTGACTTGAAACTTGCGCCTATGCTTCACTTTATGTGCTAGGACCTGAAATGTGACAAAGGAACACAACCTAGCGTAAAATAGGCCAAAGAAGCAATAATGCAAGCTTAAATGATCAAGGAACAAAGGGGAAAATATGTGCAAATATCGAGTCATCATACGTTCCTAATATGGGTACCCGCGGGTTACCCGCAAATACCCGTTTGGATAATGTGGGTACCCGTTATATCCATTCAAAACTCAAAAGACAGAATTCATTTGAGCCCACAGTGACAGCGGCACAGCCCAGCCCAATGCCCCAATTCACTAATTCTGTTCACCGTTCAGGCCATTTCAACCCTTACCCATAACCCATTTAGTAGTTTTAGTTACCCTTTCTACCTTTCAATTCCCTTAATTAATCCCTTTCACTTTCAGTCTCAGACAATGAGACTCATCGACAGCCGACAGCGAGACCTACCGAAGGGTGAAAACGCCTCTGGTGGCACCAAAAGAAGGGACTGGTGCATTTAATTTGCCTTTAATTTAATTTGCAAAGCATGCTTGTAAACTTCAAAAGCATGTATCAATATTTATCTTTTGAATAAAGTTTCATCTCTTTGTGATTGGTATGGATTTTGTGTCTTGTGATTGTTGAACAAGTACAAGTTAAGTTTAAATTGTACTTTTTCGTCTTCATATTGGTTTATGTTTAGGATTCATATTTTAAATTGTGTCCTGTCTAGAAGTTATTGTGTACTTATTGATTTTGATTCGTTTACTTTGTCTAAAGGGGAAGTGAGATGTGGGAATAGTCTTGTAAATATGTATCATTGCTATACGTTTTGTTCATAAATGAGAATTCTAGTATTTAATAATAATTTAGTTGCAGTTTACCGCATTTTATAGTTTTCATAGTTAATCTATCTCAAATTCGTCCAACGCTCGATCCGTGAAACCGATCATGCGTCAAATTAAACGGTGGAGGTGGATGCGGAGGCAGCGGCTGCTAATCAATAATCATATGCATGGACACTAGACGATGCAATAATATTTGACTCATTGTAATGAGTTATGTCCTTTGTAATTTCCATAGCTCTATAATATTGACATGCGATTTGATTAATCATTAGAATTTATTTTAAGTTTGATTTTGTGGTAGTAAATTCATAATCATCCACATCCCAAAAATGCTTCTCATATTGGTTGGTAACACGCGGTTCAAATAGTAAGTTACGTTGTAGTATAATTTGTTTTAATTTTTACTGATACTTATTATCAATATGATGCGTGTAAAGTAACATTATTTTACACGAATTTTACTTTATCAACTGCCCGTATACAATCGGGTGTAGCACAACAGTACTGTTTATATATTGCGATACAACATTTGATACGCCTAAATTTGTCTCATTTGCGTTCTAACTCAGAGTTTCCAAACGCGTTTGGGATATATCGGAGGAAGATAAAGAATTAAGGCTTCATTGACTTTGGGCTGAGGTCGCCGGTTGACATTCTCTTCATGTGCCAAGTCGCCGCTAGCTGCACGTTACTGAGACGACCGTAAGCTGCATGTATATAAAACATAATACAGTGCAAGCAGTTCTCATCAATTTATAGCATATAGAGATGGATCACACTTTCAGAATCATGATCATCGGTTGGTGCTCGCTATTGTTTTTCATTTTTGTTCTCGTTGTCCTTTTCAGTACCTTCAACCGGGGACGTAAGACTCCTCCGACGGGGAGACCACGATCCAACTCCAGATTCAGTGGCGGCGCTAATGTTAATGTCGAAGGAGCCGCCGGTCTGGGTGGAGCCACAGGCAGAGGCGGAGGTGGCAGTGATTCTGCTGGAGGCGACTGTGGCGGCGGAGGAGGCGGTTTTGGTGGTGGCGGCGGAGGGTGTTGATGATCTAACAATAGTGTAATTAATGCCTATGTATGGTCTCTGGGTGAGGTTTCCTTGGCACGGGCAGCAATGCTTTGTTCATATTCTTCATGTAACACTTTGATAAAAATTGTATGTTAGGATTAAGGATTCCAAATGCATGCGAATGCTATATTATATTTATAATGAATTCCTGCCATTGTGCTGAGAAATTTGGAAGAAACGTACTGATGATTATGGATTTGTTTTCTAGAAATATCATCATTAAAAAAAAAATTATAAAAATACCACTCAATTTTGAAAAATTCCAGAAATACCATCATTTCGTGGAAACCGCATGGGGAAGATGCAATTTCAATGAGAACCGCCTTTGGAGGGTACGGTTTTAATTAGGTCTGCCAGCAAACCGCATTTTCACGTGGCGTTTTACGGAACCGTCAGATTGAGATGTCATTCGAGGGTTGATCGCGTGCCAACTCACCGGTCCATGTCGACATCGCCCAAACCGCTTCCCCAAAGAGCGATATTTTTGTAATTTTTTTATGGAGCACTTCTACTATGTTTTAAAGTATTGGTGCTTTAAAGTACAACTTGAAGTTGTACCATAAATTCATAAGGGAATTTGACATTTATGTTATGGTACAACTTGTACAATTTCAAGTTGTACCATAACATAAATGTACAACTTTAGTCTGTACCATAAAAGAATTTTACAAAAGAATATAGATTCTATTTAAAATTATACCGTAATATTAAATGTACAACTTAAAGTTATACTATAAAACAAAAAACTAAAACACTCAGTATTGTAAAATTCTTCTAACTCTCAACTTAACTATAACAAGTAGTAGTAAATCTTCCAATTTGTGACTCGGGTCACGGAATCTTGTATGTCACAACTTGTGACTAGGAACGAAAAGGACAGCTTTTACGCAATTTTATTATGCTATATAGCATTGTTGTTATAGATTTTTGTTTTTATGGTATAACTTGAAGTTATACATTTAATGTTATGGTACAACTTTAAATTGTACCTATATTCTTTTGTACAAATTCTTTCATGGTACAACTTCAACTTGTACATTTATGTGATGGTACAACTTTAAGTTGTAAGGTTGTACCATAACATAAGCGTACAACCTGAACTTATACATTTAACATTATGGTACAACTTCAAATTGTACATTACAGCACTCATCATTTAGAGCATAGTACTGTTCAAAAAAAAAAAAAAAATAGAGCATAGTAGAAGTGCTCCTATTTAAATAATAGAGAACTACTATTAATATTTATTAGAATCTTTGATTTTACTACACCAATCAAGGATTGGTTGATCAATTACATTATTGATTGATAGAAATTAAGAGGTTGTAACATGACTTAGAAGTACGGTGACAGAATAAAAAAATGAATGGTATGCTCGTCGTAGCATTACCACACATAGTTACGGTATCTTCTTCCAATTATGCAATTATAAGGAGGCTGATACTTTTTAATTTTGAACGCGACAAAAATATGCAAAATGTGTAAGAACTACATATCTATGCTGCGTCCATCTAAGGTTCGTAGATTAGTGAATTGATAGTTATTTATAATTATAATAAAATTATCCATTGGATTGAGGGAAGAAGAAATTGGCCTCCCGCGTAGGTTGGTGGCCGACGGCAATAAGGAAGGGAAGAGGGGAATTCGGTTGTGAGAGAGGTTAGATTTAGGAAATCATTGTTTTGTTATTACTGGTAAGGGTTTGGTCCAGTGGTAATATTATTAATATTAAATCGGGAGGTTCCAAGTTTAAATTACTTAAATAGTACCTAATCACAAAAAAGTAAATCTATATTTATTAAAAAAATTGTTATGTTATTGCTTAACCCGAAAAATCCATCATTCACAGAATCTATAATCTGATAATTCCCGATAAGTACCCTACCAATAATGTCTAACAAAATAACACCCAATAATATCCAAAAGAAAAATAAACCGACAAATAAGTCCAAATAGAAGCTAGTTAGGCTGACTTCAATGCATCATCAAATTTGGGGAAAGTGGAACTTCAGTGGGGCGCTATAAATGGGGAGTGGAGCTAGAAATTGGAGGGTTTCGCCATTTGGTTCCCAAAAATGGGGGAGAGAATGTCGATGGAGGCAAATATGGGGATTGGGCGTTCTGTTGGACGGGTCAACCGCTAGCTTGGGCGGTGCGCCGCACGCGCGCGGGAGAGCTCCTTCGAAGGAGAGGCATGCTTCGAGGGCTGAGTATGAGCGAAAAAGGATGGAATTCCAAGAAAAAAAAATCAAAGTGTGACTAAGAAAAGTTGGATCTTGAGGAAAGAGAGAGGGAACAAAAGTGGGAACTTGAGAAAAGAGAGAGGGACGCAGCACTATTTCAGAACAACCTTGATCTTCTTGAAAAGGACTTGTTGAAGTTAACGCCAAGAAAGAGTAAGTGTTACAAAAATAAGCAAAACATGCTTCTAGCTTCTAGGGGGAAGAGCGATGGAAAGATAGCCTCATCGCCTGGTTTGTTGGAACTCCGCTGAAGCCTGCTGCTCTTCGGCAATGGGCTACCAGTCTCTGGGGTAGGGATGTGGTGGTGAGGGTACCAAAATTTCGTCCTCAGCTCATGGTTTTTCAGCTCCCTTCAAGTGCTACAACTCAATGGGTGTTTCGATCGGGTCCTTGGCACTTTGCGCTCTATTTTTCAAAAAAAAAAATGACTAATTAATAATCTTTTAATAGATTTGAATAATTTAAAAATTCTAACAGATTTAAACAAAAAATAAACATTATGCTAAAATTATCCGTGAAGGGTTTGAGTAAATACTAAATAGTAAATAAACAAAATAAAAACAAAACAGTCCAATCAGTAGGCTGCTCTTTCCTTCTGCATTTCTTCCATTTCTCCTCCCCTTCGAAGACATTTGACATCGTAGGCCAATTTCTTTTAGGACAAGTGAATGTACTATTGATAAATGATGGTCTGTTTGACGAGAGATGATTGATAACTGATACGAAGTAACTTAGTAGAGCATTCAAATGACTTTTGGCTTTCTGCGGACGAAAGTGAATGTACATACCACAATTGCTCAAATCTATAAACAAAACTGCAGGCTCGAGATTTCAGGACTACAGACTTAATGGGCACAATCTTGCTTTTAGGTGCCAAAACTCCTATCCCCTGCATCTCCAAGTCCAGGAATAATAAACCTGAAACGATCAACCCAAGGCGATGTTACTAAACCTGAGAATAATATGTAAAGCCCTATATGCATCGATCATAGATTCATATGATCCAATATACTTACCCTTTCTCATTGACAGTGGGATCAATGATCCCCGTGTAAACGTGGAGCCTGCAAAAATAAAATAGTCATCAAGAATATGTCAAGCATATACCATCATATATCAACACCACTTCTCTAGATTATGTGCATACCCAGGGAACTTGTCGCTAAGCTTTTGTAGGGCTGGAGGAGCGGCCACAGCCGAAATCTGCAATCAGCCCCTCAATTAAACAGTTTATCAATAATCGGGAGGATAAGATTGGAAATTTAAACTACTTGAGGAATATTCAAATAAATCCTGAAGCTACACATGATCTATGAAAATAATTACCACTTTGATTTGCTGGTTAGTTACCCCTCGCTTCTTAACATGCTCAATAGCAGTCACTATAGTTCCACCTGAGAATCAGTAAGAGCTTGACATTACAAAAAAGGTCTTTGCTTTATGACTTTGTGCAGTCTTCAGAGACTGCTGAAAAGGAATGCACTTTTTGATTGGGCTACAATATCAATAAGCAGGGCATCAATACCTGTTGCCAGCATAGGGTCTACCACAAACACACGAGACCCTTCTGGGAACTTGTCAGGCAACCTGAAAGTGGTACCACAAAGGACTTCATGAGAGATTAGACCTTTTGGGTCTAGAGGGGATAGGAATGGAGGAAATCTAAATCAAGCTCAGAAATTTAGAGTAACTGGGATCTTAGCACTGAAACAACACCTAATGGAAGAAGCAGAGATTATTATTGAAAAATTCAATTGCTATGTCATCAATGTAGACACTTCTTACTTGTTCAGGTATACAGTTGGTTGAAGTGTCTCCTCATCACGGCTTAGCCCTGAATCACCAAGAAAAATAAAGCACCGAACTTATTAAGTCAACACTTGTTTAAAACCGCATTAAAAAGGAAGACAATAACAGAGAAGTTAGCAGGATTTTATTAACCGGGAAGGCAACCGGAATTCATTATGCCTGACCCAGGGGCAGAGATTACTGAAGCATAACTAAATTATTGAGAGAGGTAAGACATCAAAATGTTTCTCAGACAAGAGCTCATTCAGAAGAGAGGGAGACTACTAGCAGTGGCAGACATTTATTACCACAAGATGAGCAGCAATAACATATAAAGAAGATAGCTCCACACAAACATAACAACAAAGCCCACATTCTCAGATATGCAAACATGGAATCCTGCCTCACCTAGATGGTAGGTCTTCATTGCTGGCAAGATAGAAGATGCATGCTCTGCCAGAGCAAGACCAGCTCTCAAAATAGGAATAACCTGCACCACTAATCGTGCTTTACAATTCAAAAAGGAAGCAGATCGCTACTACATTAAACAAGATTACAACCATTTTTGGAAAACACTATTTACTTGAGCAAATGAGCTTCAACAATAGTTGGTAACATAAGCATGCACTACACATGCATATTAATGCAGGCTGATAGTTCCTTCTTGTGGTTTTCAGATTTACCTTAAAAATTCGACCATTCTCACAAATTTGGGGCCTCCTTTTCCTCTTTTACTAGACCATTGGTTTACCAACAAGGGATTCAAGATGAAGTTAACAGGAACAACAACTACAAGTTAGGCAGACGGTAAACTAACCGCCACTGGTTCTCTTGGATCAATAAATTCAACTGAGGCAACTCCCATGGGTGACTGGATCTCCCCGGAAACAGTAGGCTGGCAGAAGAAAAACAAAAAATTAAAACTGTCAAGGAATCATCTGTAAGCCATTGGATCTGTAATTTCTACCACAAGAATCCAGGGTCATGAAGTATATCCAGGCAGAGAAAGAAACAAGTCACATTTGACAGTGAGAAAAAAAAAACCCCCAGTAAACTGCAACTCGTCTTGGAATAAACGAGTTGGAGCATCATGCAACAAAAGTAGCTCTGAGATCACAACAAGGAAGAAGCCAAACTCACCAACCAATCCCGTGAAGCTTCATACAAAAGTAACCTTCCAAGTTCAGCCATAGCATTCCCTGGAAACAAAAACAAAACGAAAAGGTAAGTAAGTACAAAACCCACCATGCCACCTAATCTGAACAAGAGAGCAATAAAACAATTGGGGCGGCAAACAAAAATCAAAAGTTGATGAAAAGGGCGGGATAGAAGACCCCGGAGGCCACTTATACGCACGGAAAATGGGACAAGGAGTCTGCTCGTTTCTCAATACGGAAACCCAGTGCTTGATCAGCGGGTGAGGAGGCACATAAACCTGCAGAATCCCAAACCTATCAAATTAGCTAATCAGCAAATTCCAGAGCAAAACCCAAACAGATTGGATAAAGGGTACGAACGAGCATCCTGTTCTGCGAGACGGGCTTCTCCTCAGTGGTCATGTGAGCGTTGACGGTAACAAAGCTGCGGCGCGAAGGACTGTAACAAGACATCTGAAAAACAAACATGGGAAGGAAGGCAGAATTGAGAGTATTGATTAATAAATTAAGGGAGATTCGCATTGAAAACACGCTGACTCTGACTCTGACTCTGATTTATGGCGGGCATGGTTGGTTGGTTGTACCTTGTGGATAGTCAAGGAGGAAGGAGGAAACGATGATGAGGAAGAAGAGAATGGAGGGAGAATGGAGGGAAGAAGGGTATTAGGGTTTTGTAATTGTAGGAGAGCAAAACACGGCGCGTGCTGCTGGAAATGGGGATTTATACGGGACGCCATGCATTCGGAGGAAGGAGCTATTTCCGGATTTCGGATTCCAATATGGAGAGAGGGAGAGACGTAAGAGTAAATGCCTCCGACGAATTTAATTCCGGCTATCCCTGGGTCTCTCTAATCGATTATCTATCTGCTTTGGAGTTCGGGGAGTGAGCAGAGCAGGTGCCTGAGTTAGTTTTCTCTTCAGGTTGGTTTCTGGTCTGTGGATGGGTTTTCGTTGGAATATCGGGCTGGACTGCTATAGTTTCTACTTTTGTTCCCGCTAGATGGTCGGCCCACGGGCTGGAAAGGAATCGCCAAGGCGGATGTATATATAGTTTTTTTTTTTTTCAATAGATATTGGAAACAACATATTTTTTTACTGTACGGCTGTACCCGGGTAATATTTGTATGAAATTAACTTTGAGCTCTCCTACTCTAATAAAACCATTCAATCGAAGTGGCTGTTAACTTCCTCAATATGAAATTCTTGACAAGGGCGGTAAGCATTGTTCGATGTACTTTAATTTGAAGGAAAAGTTCTACTATAGCCTACACGACTCTCAAAGGCCAGATATGCAGAGTACATTTAAGGGCCGATCACCTCCGATTTTTTTCTGAAGGAATTCAATCAAGTTAGTGGCCTGCGCATATAGCAATAACACAAATTATGAATATCATATTAAGAGTCTATTACCAATATATTTTTTTCCCACCAAATAACATTTCTATGAAGAGCCCTTCTAGTGTGCTCTATAGCACCCATGGTATAAAACACAAAAAAAAGATGACCTGTTGGAGAGGTAAACCCACTAAATGACTGGTCCCACATCATTAATGGCAATCTTGTAAATAATGAATCAATGTATACAAGTGTAGGTACAAATTAGAGTTGTATCATAACGTATAGGTACAAGTTTCAGTTGTACCATTGAAGAATTTGTTTCGCAAAGTGTAGGTACAACTCAAAATTGTACATAGCGTGTAGGTATAATTTTAGGTTGTACTATAGAGTTTTCTGTAAAAGTGTAGATACAACATAAAGCTGTACCATGATATAGGTACAGGTTTGGGTTATACCATAGAAGGATTTTGAGAAAGTGTAGGTACAACTTAAGGTTGTACCATTAGTATAGGTACAATTTTGCGTTGTACCATAGAGGGATATGTTAGAAAGTGTAGGTACAACTTAAAGTTGTACCATGGTATAGGTACAAGTTTGGGTTGTACCATAGAAGGATTTTTAGAAAGTTTAGGTACAACATAAGGTTGTACTACAAGTATAGGTACAATTTTGAGTTGTACCATAGAGGGATTTGTGAGAAAGTGTAGGTACAACTTAAAGTTGTACCATAGTATAGGTACAAGTTTGGGTTGTACCATAGAAGAATTTTGATAAAGTGTAGGTACAACTTAAGGTTGTACCATTAGTATAGGTACAATTTTGAGTTGTACCATAGAAGGATTTGTTAGAAAGTGTAGGTACAACTTAAAGTTTTACCATAGTATAGGTACAAGTTTGGGTTGTACCAAAGAAGAATTTTGAGAAAGTGTAGGTACAACCTTACAACTTAAGGTTGTACCACAAGTATAGGTACAATTTTGAGTTGTACCATAGAGGGATTTGTTAGAAAGTGTAGGTACAACTTAAAGTTGTACCAAAGTATAGGTACAAGTTTGGGTTGTACCATAGAAGAATTTTGATAAAGTGTAGGTACAACTTAAGATTGTACCATTAGTATAGGTACAATTTTGAGTTGTACCATAGATGGATTTGTTAGAAAGTGTAGGTACAACTTAAAGTTGTACCATAGAATAGGTACAAGTTTGGGTTGTAACAAAGAAGAATTTTGAGAAAATGTAGGTACAACTTAAGGTTTGACCACAAGTATAGGTACAATTTTGAGTTGTACCATAGAGGGATTTGTTAGAAAGTGTAGGGACTTTTCTAATAATAGCACGTTTAAAAAAAATTACAAAACTAGCACCAATCCGAAAAAATTGACAGAAATAGCACCAATTTTAATGGAACGCACCCCTAAGGTGCGTTTTACTTATAAACCGCACCTTAGGGGTGCGTTCGAAGCCACGTCAGCACAAGAAACGCACTAGGAAGGTGCGGTCTTCAGATTCTGCGGAACGGTCTTGAAGACCGTTGGATGAAGGAACAATCGGAGGGCTGAACGCGCGCCAGAGGAGCGATCCGCGCCACGGATCGGGGAACGCAGCACCGAGGTGCAGTCAAGCCTGGGGAAGCGCAAACCGCCTCGGCAAGGTGCGTTTTCTATTTGGGGAAAATTACCCGACCGCCCCTGGAGGGTGCGATCTGTTGTGTATAAATACCCCCCCTTCCCCTCTCATTTCTTCACACCACAACCCATTCTTCCTTCTCTCTCTAAATTTTATCTCTCTAAACCCTCCCCTCCCAAAAGCCTAGGAAATAGTGGTATGTTGGTTGCGACTAAGTCCGATCTGCCATCAGAAAACATGTCTTAGGTTTTTTCCTCAAAACCCGCCGAGCCGAATCTCTGTCCGAATTTCCCGAAAAAATGGCCGATTGGTGGCAAGGAGAGGGAGTTTATGTTGATGAATTTCAAGCGGTACGTACTCATTATTCTGGTTTAATTTTTCTTGTTGTTATAAGCTTTTTAATTAATCTATGTACTAACCTCGTTGTTATTTTCTCGTAGGTTGGGGAGGACGTGGATATATACAACCAACGGTATTATCTCGAGCAAGGACCGTTGGATCCAACCGACTTGTACGACCAACCCAACCATCGGTCAAGGGATGTTTGGAACAATCACCCGGTACATACAATTCTTCACCATTTGTCCTTCTTTTATTTTGTTAATGTATTTAGTGGAATATAAAATAAATTTATGTTGATTTTTTAATCGTGTTGGTTGTTTTCAATAATTTAATCGAATACATAGCGTCACTTACTTCGACTCTTTATAAAGAGATGCACGTCTAAGGAAATGGGGTTTTAAGCGATTATCATATCCTCCCATTCCCTGGGAAAATCGGGTATTAAGAGATCCTCGGATCCCCCCTTTTTTTGTCAAAAAAACTGCGTTTCTAAGAAGATATATACCTCTTCTAAGAGTCTAACGAGTGTTGCTCTGTATTCGATTAAATTATTTAAAACAACCAATACGATTAATTTATTTACCAAACAACCAATACGATTTATCTTTATGTGTACAAAATGAATTTTATTAATTTCAAACATTTGAATATGTATGTTTCTCTTTAAATTATTATTCATTAACAATGTTATTTATGTTAATTAATTTAGTATGTTTGTTTTACGATAATATGTATCTCTTTAAATTATTATTCATTTAGAATGTTATTATGTTAATTAATTTAGAATGTTTGTTTTATGATAATATGTATGTATCTCTTTAAATTATTATTCATTTAGAATTTTATTATGTTAATTATATGAAATGTCTTTTTATGATAATAAAATTCTGCTTGAAGTTAAATAATTTAATTTAATCAATTTAGTTATAAGAAAAAAAACCCTTACTAATATATAATAATTAACGTGTAAATTTTCGCTAGGAGGCACAAACAATACTCCGCTACAGGGGTACCACCAATGTGCTCCCATTCCACCCAGTTATCTTGCCCTTTCTCAAAAGGGCACGGTTGGACTCGATTAGGCATTTTAACGGCATCAAAGTTTATCGCCAACTCATCACCGCATTAGCCGAGAGATGGAGAAAGGAGACCCATTGTTTCAACTTTAGAGAAGGAGAGGCCACCATCACGCTAAAGGATGTCGCCATCCTAACCCATCTGCCCATCGACGGCAAACCGTTGTGCATGTGTGATCATCCCCCTGAGGATCGTGACGGTATGCCCGGTTGGGTTCATTTCATCCACAGTGTTTTGGGAGTGAAAGTACTGGTGAAGGGGTGCATTGATGCGACCGATTGCATGCCACCAATGAGGAAACACCAAGTTTCAATTACTTGGTTGACGAAGTATTTTAGAGACCATTACGAGAGTCATCCCCTAACCGAGGAAAGTCCGGAGGATGAGAAGGAGAGATATGCTCGTGTCTATCTCATAGGCATGATCGGAGGAGTGTTCTTCTCCAAAAAATCAAGCAATCTCCTTAGTTGTGGATGGCTTAGGATCATCTTCGGTAGTTGGGAGGAGATGGGGGAGTATAGTTGGGCATCCGCTTGCTTAGCTATGATCTACCACAACTTGTGCAATGCGTCTCTAAAAGCTGTGAGGGAGGTCGGCGGCGCAATGTTCATCGTCCAATTTTGGGCTTGGGAGCATATGCCATGAATTGCACCGGTCCAACGTCCCGACAGGGATTGGCCAATCGATCATCCCCTAAGAGGTGAAGCTTATGGTACAAGGTAAACTTCTCATACTACATCATGTTTTTCATAACACATTTTCCTTTGTGTTTTAGCTTATTGTAGTTTCATTATTGTCTTATTAATAAGGTGGCTCGGACACACAACATGCGACAACCTTGCCCAACACAAGTTGGACGAGTATCGGAGGAGGTTTGAGTGACTTTGGGAAGGAGAGGTAACTTCTATACTTCGATCCATTTATATCTTTTTTCCATGGGTCTACATGTATTTTTCTAATTAATTAATCTTACGTTACTCATTTCTTTCTTGTAGATCGTCTTCGATCCATACCCGGAGAACATCGTTCATTGGCATCTCCATCAATTCCCCGGTCATATCGGGCAATGGTGCACGAGGGTCCCTCTAATTTGTTTTGGGAACGTGGAGTGGCACTTGACGGATCGATGCCTCCGTCAATTTGGTCGCGAGCAGTGCATTCCGTTGGAGGTCCCCGATAGTCAAAGGGCCTTTCATGGCCGAGATGGTCGGCAAGGTACTCGTGATTGGCCCACGAAGTTGGCGAAATTCATCGCGATTTGGGAGAACCGACAATCCCAAGATATTGTCATTCCAACTCAAGTGGGTCGAATGGGGTATCATGACCCATACTTGGATCGATATCGGCAAACATCGGTTCGTTACATGACTCCGGAGGGTGCGGCCGATGGTGCATTAGTAAGTATATTTCGTGAAAACAATTAAATTTATTACTTGGTTCCTAAATATTTTTCTAACTTTTTTTTTTGTGATTTAGGCTGATGGGATGGAGCGGATCAAAGATATGACCACCGGGAGAACAGAGTAGGGCAAAGAAGATGTGAGCTTCATCAGGAGGATGGCAAACAGTCTACTTGGCTGTATCAGAGCTCAGGGTCGGGATCATCGTAGATATCCTCCCATGCCCGCACCCCCGCCACCTCCGGTACAACTTGATGTCCCCGATCCCCCACCACCATACGAGAGAAAGAAGAGCAAGAGGGTTCGGGAAAGGCCCAACGTGCCCGACGTAACGCCATATGGGAGGACCATGATAATCGCTTAAAACCCCATTTCCTTAGGCATGCATCTCTTTATAAAGAGTCTAACAAGTGCACCACTCTTCTGAATACAAGATATTGTTAGCTGACAAAATTAAACGGCTAATAGAGAACTTACCAATCCACCACAAATTATCAGCAAGCTTCTTCCGCTTGGAATGATGGTTCCAGTTGCTCTTGAAGTGTCGTATGCACCACCTTTGGGACCACTTCCAGGCTGGATCTAAACCTAAGATGGCAGCTCTAATGCCGGCGTGCCGATCAGAGATTATTGTCAGGTTCGTCCTCCTGGTGACGTGGATTTGAATATGCCGGAAAAACCATCCATAGCTATCAGCATTCTCTCCCTCAACAATGGCGAAGGCTAAAGGAAAGACTTGTCTGTTTGCATCCGCCCCACTGGCAATCAGGAGAGTGCCCTTGTACTTGCCGGTAAGGAATGTACCATCCACTTGGATCACAGGGACACAGAAGCCAAAACCATCAATAGATGGCTTGAATGCCCAAAAAAGTCGTCTGAAATGACGCTTGTTACCTGGCTCTGGGGGCTGTATCTCTTCATCTTGGTATCGAGGGGAGAAAACCGTGCCAGGGTTAGACGCCTCCAATGCCAAAATTAACCTGGGAAGGAATGCATATGATTCTTCCCAATCACTAAAGACGGCGGCCAGAGCTTTCTGCTTTCCATGCCACGCCTTCTTATAGTTAATCATATAACCATAACGACTTGCAATGTCAGCGATTATGACTTTCACCTTCAGGTCCGGATCTTGCTCAATTAGATGCTTGATAGCCGCAGCAACCACCCTGGACTTCAACTGCCGATGGCCTTGGGAAGTTATGGATGACACACATGTGTGTGTGTTTACCGCACGGGATATGACCCAGTGGCCGTGTCTTTTGCTGTTGATGGCCCGAATCCTAACATTGCATCCCTCGTGATGATTACGGCATCTGACTATGAGCCTTTTAGTGTTGGAATAAGTTGTGTGCCATTCAAAATGCCGAGTCATTGCTTCAGTCTCAATGGCGTGCCGCACCTCCTTCTTCGAGCCAAACTGTTGGCCCTTCATAAACCCAGTGAGTGGACCCCATATTGGGACCTCTGGCGGCTCCATGTCGTTGTCGACCATCCAATTGTCGTCTAGAATGTGATTGTAGTAGGGGACTGGTACACAGTCATGAGCCACCTCATCATCATTAGCTGAGTCTGACTCTGGTCCTGAATCATCAACACCTTCAAGAGGGTCGGAGCTGTCTGCGCTGACGTTGTTCTCTCCTTCTTCATCAGAGGGGTCACTGGCTGGTGCTGGCAGGGCATCCTCCATCTGATCTAGCTCATGAAAGGCACCTTCATCAGTTCCATAATGGTAGTTGTGAAAACTACCGCTGCCTGATTGGAAGTAGTACTGAGGTTGGTTGGCATGGTCCGGTTGAACTTCTTCTTCATATGATGGGAAAGATTGATGATGACCTTCACCTTGCTCTTGGTACTGAAAATAGGAACTTGGATCATGGTAACTTTGGTAGGGATGATCGCCATATAATTCACCTCCACCATGGATACCAGATGTTTGACCGTGTCCAGAATGACCTCCAATGCCTACGACCGGCTCGGTGTACACGAACATCTCGGATTTGGAAAGATTGTTGGACCTCAAGAATTCGAGCATGGCATCTACCTCATCCTAAGTGGTTATGAGATATTCCTCATGCCACAATGACCCACTTTCTCTGTTTGGATATCGGTACACCATACGATCAACTCTTCTCGTGCCATCCATGCAAGTAACGTTAGTGCACATTTGATGGAGGTCTTCAAGCAGCGGTCTGGTAGCGACCTTTATCTTCTGAAAATTGCCACCAACGTAGGTGACCCCCTTTCCGGTCTCTTCCGTGTAACCATTCCACCGTAAGCCAAGCGTGAACTTTTGGAATGCCATCTGCGAAAAAATCGTAGTTCAGTTAATATCATAAAAATAAAAAATCATAAATAACAATAAAAAGTAATACAAAATAAACTTACGAGTTAACGTTAATCGCAAAACTACTAAAGAAATATAGAGCTACAACAGAAAATTGATAAGGGAGAAGGAGAGGTGTGAAGAGAAGTGGTTTTCCGGGAAGCCTTTTATAGGCAAAATTACAGATGAAAACCGCACCTTAGAGGTGTGAATTTTTTTGTAGTCAATCCTCAAGGACCTCATGATGTGATGGTTGCATTTGATGATGTAGCGCCGAGCTTCCTTCTCTCGATCGAGGCGAGAGAGAATGAGTGCATTTTGCTCCAAAATTTGGGCATTCCGCCGACCCAATGCCTCCAAATGGGATATGTATGTGTCGGTGGATGGTCCGGCTTGAGTCGTAGTTTGGTGATGTTGTGCAGGTTGTTCCGGAGTCTCCTCGACCATTTGCTGAACAACATGCTCCAATGCGTTTATTGATATGACTTGAATCGGACTATCAGCCGCTACGACTGGTAATCGGTGGGGGTGCGGGGGCAACGCCCCCGGCCCAGGGTGTATGGGCTCAATGTTATTTGGGTTCGGGTTCTGGGCCTGGTCTTTAACTGTTTCCTTTGTCAAATTGGATTAGGTTTAGACCCACATGGAGAAGTACTATAAATACTTCTCATACTCCTCTGTAATCTGTAATCTCCTCGACATAGTGAAACTGGCTCTCTCTCGCCCGTGGACTAGCTAACACACATCATGTTAGTGAACCACGTAAATCGTGTGTCTGTGTTTTTCGATTCTCGCTTTCGTATTCTTGCTTTGTCGTTTCTGGTGATTTCCCGATCCGTAACAGCGCGTTTATAACAGCGTTTGCCTCATCTGTTGCAAGAGGAGGAGCAGGATGAGGGAGGCCAACAATGCCTAGCACACCATTCTCCTTAACCACCAAACACAGACATGATTAATATCAGAAGCATTAGTTACATTTGCTCAATGTTCAAAAGGAACTAGATTAGTAGGCCATCCAAAACTTGCACAAAATCAATCCTAGATTGTTTGAATCCCAACTAGTTATGTTTTAGCATTCACTGTGAAAAGGAAAGTGTGGTTGGAACATTTACCTTTGACAACAAATATAGATCCACAAGGTTGTTTTGGGAGATTGGTTGAGTGGACTGGGTAATGGTGCAATGAGAACCCACCGGATCAATGCCAAAATGGCTAGCTAGCCTTGTGATGTAGGCACCTCCATGGATGATCTTGATTTGTTTGTTGGAGTCATCTTCTGTAGGGTTTTCCGTATGACTAAACTAAGATGAATTGGGGGATCTTTTACCATAGAGAGGAAAAAGTTCAAATCTCGCTTGGTCACACTCCCAGGGCTCCCCTCCCTAGCCGCCACAGAGTGAGCGATAATGTTGTGGATGATACGCCATGGGGGAAGAAGATCATTCCCTTTATAGTGGGCAGTGTCAGACTTTGCCACATGGCTTCGTTTCACCGTACTCCACATAGCATCGACCAATGGTGCTCTTGGTGGATATATTTTCTCTGAAATCAAACCATGTCCATCTGTGGTGAGAAAACCTGGTGGGTATATCTGGAGTGCCTCTGTGAACTCAGTGATGCTCATCCGTCTCGCCTGTCCTCCAAGGCGAAAAGTTATGTTGTCTTGGGGCTTGTCGAGGTTAAACTCGGTTATATAGTTGATGGAGAGAGTGCTGAGGAACTCAATGGTAAGCTCTCGGTAGATTACTTCATTGATGGAGAGAACCTCACACCATGCCGGGAGACGGAGGCATGTGCGAACAGGGTCCGCTGCTCCGAGGCGCTCTAGGAGACCCCAATCAAAGCATCTTTGCTGCCCAAATGGGAGGGGAAGGAAGCGTTCCAAAGCCCTCCTATGTTTTTTGGGTAGTTGGAGGAAGTCGTGCAATCCCCCTCCTCCAAGTTGAGCCTCCGGTTGTGGTGGTGGTGGAGATGGTTGACATGCACGTCCTTGGTTTTTTTTGCCTAGTCGTTTGGGGGGAGTGTCTCGTTGTTGGGTTTGGCGACAACGACAAGAAGGAGCCTTCACTTTGGCAGGTGATAGACCATTGATTGCACATGTTTTTACCCCTATTCTTGAGCCGTTTGAGATGTTGATTCTCGTGTTTTAAGCCGATTTCACGCTAGGTTGTGTGTTTATGTCATATTTC